CCCTTACCATTCCAAAATATCAAAAATATCAAAAGTGCACAACGTTAATATTGAAGTTTTCACTTCTCTCGGCACTCCTGGAGTGCAACCCGTCGTTTTTTTTAATTTACACGAGGCGCAACAAATTACCCAACTCCACTTGATGTTAAGTGTAAGTGTAGTATGTCGCGAAGATAGCTGATGCGGCAGAAAGTGTGCTACTCCAGCAATCCTCAACTTGCATGCCTGAACCCTATCCCCTCCCTGCGGAGCCCTAGAACCCTACTCACCAGCAGAAACACAATACCACCAAAATGTAGTGTTATTTTACCATCGTTTTCTGTAAGTTCTTTGTTGAAGTCACAGTTTTAACCTCACTTAATTAAATGACCTGTTTGAAGCATGACCGGTTAGAAATACTTTTGATGACTAGAGACTAGGGTTTGGGAATTCTCAAAAATTTCAAAGTCCCGGGACACGAGACAACCTACGACCAAGGTGCCGTGACGTCCCGGGACTTCGAGACTTAAGTTAAAAATTTGAATTGATTTAATTTCTAGTGAAACGACGTATTAAAAAAGAGGCAAGTTAAAGTAAAAATCAACATTTGTTAAACAAAAAAATTAATCCTAATAATTTTTATGTTAATTGCAGTCTTAATAATTGGTATGTATGTATATATAATCACAAACAGATTCATTTTTAAGTAATTCAATATTATAATTATGTTACATAACATTGGTAATTCTCATAATTACAAATTTGTTTCGTAATATAAAAATTTAAATATAAAACACACTTATACAGCGGTCTCATTAATATAGAAACAATAACTGATTAGACTTGTTTGCTGATTGAATAAAATAAGCTTTTAAAAAAGTCAGAGCGTTTATGGCTTTGTCCGACAATCTGCTTATGATTTCCACCTGACAAAGAGAACACTGTCTCATTTTCGACAGATGTCGGTTTAATTGTGTCGATTGTTGCCCCGGGACAACAGAAACACCACACCAAACTCACCTTATAAATAAAATTGACGACTTACTGAGCTAACACAGACACAATCATAATCCAAACGTCACAGACACAGAACAACCAATGTCCACCACATTCGGAAAACGCATTTAGTGTGTTGTGTACTCAGTAGTTACGTAGTAGACCAAGTAATTATTCATTAAACTCACAGATGGCTTAGGTTTTTTTAATGATTTGAAAATAAAAAATGATTACAGTTCAAATTCGGCAATCGTGTCTCCTCTCGAGTCGCGACCCTAAAGTCTCGGGAGCCGAGACAACAAAATTTACAAAAAGTGTCGAGACACGAGATGTCCCGGGACACAAACCCTAGTAGAGACTGTAACATAAACATAGAAGGGAACAAAATCAATCAACTCTCGTTGAAACTTTGTCGGTCGCCTGTTTCTGTGTCCTTTTAATAATAATATTTTTAGATGAAATCCGCTCTTGTTGGTGACAGTTCATTTTGATTTGCTAAAAAGTAAAATTGCGTGAGTGTCGTGGAACACTCGGTATATTTATATATACCCAGTATATTTATACCTATACCACCCAATCCGCACTGATTTTGCTGAGCTTTGTATAAAATTTGTCGACCTCCGTCGTCGAGTGGTTCGTACGCCGGGTTTCATGGTGTAGCCGACTGGAGAGATCCCGGGTTCGAATCCCGGTGGGGGCAGATGTTTGTGTGATGAATACGAGCATTTGTACTCCAGTCATGGATGTTTAATATGTATTTCTATATAAATATACTTATCTAAGGACAGTATATGTATTCTATCCGTTACCCTACATAACACAAGCCTTACAGTGCTTACTTTTTGGGGCTAGGTTAGATGGTATAAGTGTATAAAAATAAAAATAGGTGATGTACAGACAGCCTGTTATTTTTGTTTTCAGACTTTTTTTGACGTTAGTTAATGAAGTCGTTTTAACCGCCGCGAACCTAGCGCGTAACCATATATCATCATATACTCGGAGGAGTACATACGGTCACAGTCACGGCTTTGAATACCATTAAAAATTTGGTAACATTACCTTTGTTCGTCAAGGATAACGATACTCAGAAAATAACATTTTCTCAATTAACATTACTTCGGTATCATTAAACCTATGCTCTAAGTATTAAACATATCTGTGAAAACTATTACCGTTACCAGTCTTTTTAACGTTAAGAGATAGCGTTACTTTTGTATCATTTTACCGGTAACTCTCACTGTTTAAACTTTAATAAATAACGTTACCTATATTGGTAACGATATTTATTGCATTTATACTTAATACAATTTGAAAATGACACAGATGGTTAGTAACCGCTATCACTCGCTGGCTACGCAACGCGGCGTCAAGTTAACAAGCCCTGAGTCACAGTACTGATATCCTTGTACTGCGATACGGTGATCAATCAGGTGGACCACTCAGGTGGTCAGTTCGGAACGCGGGTAATAAATTACCAGTTTGTGTCTGCAACTACGTTTCCGTAAAATGATGGGTTCCGCAAAGAGGCTTTTCTCAATTTCACCCGTTTCAACGTTTTAACAAAGGTATTAGGCATGTTTTCATACTAAAGTTCGTTAAAATCGGATCAGTAGGCTTGTCGTGAAAACAAGAGCCAGACAGACAGCTTTTTCAGTTAAAACAATCCTTGCAATCTCGACAAATAGATACCTATATAGTATATGACTGATTTTATCCGTGAACCTACTTATTTTTATTATACATTTACATATATCAACTGCCTTTTTTATTTCATTGCGTAATGGCGCAACGGTATCGGCAATAATATTTGTAGCCTGAATAACTGTTCAAACAAAGGGGACGTGAATCATGATCACATACGTTATAAAAGCATTTTCAATCACTACGCGATATTACATATGGATGGATTGTAGGTATATTCTTTGCTAGATGTATGAGTATATATTGCGATCAAATGTTTGTGGTCTCAAATGTTTGTTATGTTGTGATTCATTTCCCGTGCGTATGTCGGGATATTGGCAAAGTAGGAAGTTTGAAAATAGAATTTGCAATAGTACATTGTTTATTAAGGGACCAAAGAACTATTCACCTACATATTATTTACCACGCAGCCCTAGTGTGGATTGGTAGGTAGGATTTTTTTATGGAATAGGGAAGGGAGATGGCCCATGACTCACGATTTTTTTTTCACGTCACTCACGTTTTTTTTTGTTGGGAGGTTTAAAGCTGGCCGTAGTTTATTTTATGTGCCCATTTAAAATATAAGTCAGAGTTTGGCCAGAGCATAAAAATTATAGCTTTAACCGAAGCAAAGCGAAGCAAAGTCTTTGCTCCACCACCACCCTTAATCACCCTTAACATTTAGGGGGATGAAAGTAGATGTTGTCCGATTCTCAAACCTACTGAATATGCATATAAAATTTCACGAAAATCGGTCGAGCCGTTTCGGAGTAGTTCAATTACGCACACCGTGACACGAGAAGTTTATATATTAGATATTAATATATGTATCAGTCTATGTATTCTATCCGTTACCCTAGTATCCCATACCACAAGCCTACAATGCTTACTTTGAGGCTAGGCTAATTGGTGTGAGTGTTGGAAATATTTATTTATTTACCAACATTTTTCAAAAATGATTGATCTATGTTAGATCGATTTGTAATGAAGGGAATGAGAAATATTTTATTTAAAGGTATATACGACACAAAAAATGCTATTTTAACATAAAAATAAAGCCATTAAAATAACTTTAAACATGCTTTTTCTCTCTCTTGAGTATTTACTTTACACGCCGTTAAAAAAAAGTAATTTATCGAAGTTGATAGATAACCTGTCACTGTTGAGTTGGGAGGTGCTTGTTTGTAGGAAAATCAATGCTTCAATTTATACCGTGGCACATTGTGAAGATATAAATGGATACGTCTTCACCACAGTAACTCACTATCAATTTCTTACATAAGTACATCATCATCATCATCAGTCTAATAATGTCCCCACTGCTGGGGCAGAGGCCTTCCCTATGGATGGAATAGGGAGATTGGGCCATGAACCACTACGCGGTCCCAGTGCGGATTGGTGGGTGCTAACGACTGCATATGCAGCCGGGACCAACGGCTTAACGTGCCTTCCGAAGCCCGGTGGAGCTCGAGATTGTAATTTTTGGTCACCCATCCAATGACCGACCACTGCGAAAGTTGCTTAAGTTCAACGATCGCAGCCGAACGCACTAACCACTTGCGCCATCGAGCTCCTCATAATTACAGCAATGCTATTATCTCCTTGTGCGGTTGTGGCAGGGCATCAAAAATGTGTTGCAGCAAGAAATGATGACGAAATGATGTAGTATGTACAAACATAACTTTAATGAAAATGGTTTTGATAGTTAATAAATAGATTATTATAATAAAAAATAGATGTATTAGAGGAGCTCGATGGCGATGGCGGTTAGCGCATTCGGTCTGCGAGCTCGAAAGTTAAGCAACTATGACAATAGTCAGTCATTAGATGGGTGATCAAAACTTAATATTATCTCGAACTTCTACGTGTTTCAGAACGCAATTTGAGCCGTTGTTCCTGGCTGCATCTGCAGTTATCGGTAGCACCCACTAATCCGTACTGGACCCGCGTGGTGGGTTACGGCCCAGTTTCCCTATTCCACGCCTGTGCCCCTGCATTGGGGATATCAATAGGTTGGTGATGATGATGATAGTGTTATAAAGCATACTCATCTCCACTGGTAGTACTTCTTTATGAGTATGATGCCTGAAGCTGTCAGTGCTTCTTTTAACCACATATGAGGGAGATTTAAAAACATTAGTTATAAATATGGATACCAACATTGCGAATGAATAAAAATTATAACACAGTACGAACATATGCAAAGTAGTAGGACACATGCATGCAATTACGTTCCAGAGACTTAACCTTTATAAGGGCAAGTGTAATGCATCATTACGACACCAGAATATAAATTATCTTCAGCAATATATGAATATTGAAGATAGGTTAAGTTCAAATAATACCTGCAAAGTTCTCGACAGCTCAGAGTCGGTATATCTGCCCGTAGTCCTTCTTTCGGGCAGCACGTACTTCGGGAGGGACTTGAAGAACCACGCGCCGGACTTCTTCCACATCTCCCTGGTCTCCGCGCACAGGTTACACATGTATTGTTCTCTGCTCAGTGGTGACCTGGTCCGGAATTGAGAGGAATATTTTAGAAACAAGTATTAATATACCTTCATCATCATTATCACTCCGACTGCTGAGAATAGGCCTCCCCCAAGAATGAAATGGAAGGTGTGTCAATGACGAACTTGGGGAAGGCGGAGTTACGGCAGATAGCGCAAATCCTGAGTGGTGCTAGCAGCCGAACAGTCTTGCCGAGAAGCAGGCAAGTATGAGGCGCTGAAACTTGTTGTAATGTATGGATTTTACCATTGAGGAACTGACCTATGAGGGGGTGTGTCAATGACGCATTTGGGGCAGGCGGAGTTGCGGCAGATGGCGCAAGTTCTGAGTGGTGCCAGCAGCCGAGCAGTCTCGCCGCAGAGAAGACAAGTACGAGGCGCCGGACCTTGTGCTGATCGACGCATACCTGTACAAATAAATAATGGTTAACATTTTTATCACTTTCTGTTTTAGATGCCTGGAACATTGAAGAGTTAAGGTACTACTTGGTGAATATAAATCTTGAGGATGCACATTGAAGTATAATGTCAGATAGTTTACCATGACTGATGGTCGTTGGGACTAAAAGGTTTTCGAGAGGCGACACAGATATCTGACGACGTTCGGTAGCCAGTCCCCCCTATACCTCCACAGGAGAAACGACTATTTATTGAAGGTTGTGGGAAGCCGCTGGATGTAATAATGTCAGATAGTTTACCATGACTGATGGTCGTTGGGACGAAAAGGTTTTCGAGAGGCGACACAGATATCTGACGACGTTCGGTAGCCAGTCCCCCCTATACCTCCACAGGAGAAACGACTATTTATTGAAGGTTGTGGGAAGCCGCTGGAAGTAGGCAGCTCAGGGCCGATTAAAGTGGAGATCTTTGAGGGAGGCCTATGGTCAGCAGTGGGTGTCATATAGTTGAATGATAATGATAGAAGGTACGATCCAAACTTTAACTACTTTTACGATTTAAGCTTTACTTCCGCTATTGCAGGCTGAACGCGCTAACCAACTTCGGCATCGAGCTCTTTTTCATCAAGGTCTTTATGAGGCTTAGGTTATGATTTATTTATTTCAGTCAATTGAGAGATCAAAATGTCTTTGGTGGTTGGTATACATGTCGCCAGGGGCGTATTTGCCCTAGGGCCAAAAGGGGGCATGACCCGAGGCGGCAAGCTGCAAGGGGCGGTAGAAGCGACATAAAGGTATTCGTTACTGACCTATATATTTGATTTATTAGTAAAAGGGGGGGGGGGGGGGTGCATCTTGCCATTGCATGTATATCTCCATTCTTGCATGTCGCATGTGAGGCCTTTTCTGACAAGTAAAAGACTCTGTGGTTTATTAATAAGTAACGAAAATCATACATAGGTAGATACAGGTCTGTGTTTTTCTTAGAATACGATTTTCTTTTTTTAATTGCATGTAGAGTTGCGTTTTCCTCTATAAATAATGTAGGTAACAAAAAACGAGCTTTGAGGTCATATGAAAAAGTACGCCGCTGCATCTACTGTTTCTTATTGTTTCTATAACGCCTCCCGATTTAAAATCGAACCTTGCAACACTAAGTAGATATCTTCTTACGTTCAGAAAGTGTTCCGCAGGGTGGCCCACGACTGCATTATCTCTTTTAAAATGATTTGAACAAATATGTTAATGTTATACTTAAAAATTGATAATACACATTGTTAGCCATATGGGAGTATATCTGTTTTATTAGACGTAAATGTTGTAGAAGGAAAATAATGGATGGTTTAAGATTCAAGGCGAAAACATTCGTAAAAAATCAAACCATCTTTTTTACTGCCACAAAAGCTTCACAATTCTATTTCGGAATATATTTCGCAAAGATTAAATTGCCTGCCTAGTGAATAGGGAATGTAGGTACTTACCTATTTAGATATAAGTGCTTTGAATCTCAGGGTAAATTCCCAAGCCCAATATCTGTAGCGCCACAAAGCAGAATACTAATATTTTTATTTATCGCAATCTATTTTGCGGCTTTGTGGATATAAATCCTACTGCTTTACGTAATTGATTTTTTTTTATGAATATCTGTTTCTGTATTTTTTTTTTAATATTCAAAAGGGTGGTAAACATATGGCTCATTTGATGATGGTTATCGGTTACCACATGCATAGTGTGTTGAAACAATCTGCGTTTTGGACAAATCGTTTATTCATTATAAGAATCAGGAGTGTAACATAATATTTAATATAATCACATTTTCGGTAAGAGCGTAACATTGCAAGCACAGTACAGCGAGAAGAGAGCAACCAGAGACTTTTTATTTTTAATAATAGCTATGACATAATAGTTTATAGCATTGGCTTACAGTATTGATACTTATCATATCCAACACTCCCTCTCAATTTCAAATTTACTACAACATTTTAAATTGCACTTACACAAAGTATGAAATTATAACTTTACTAAGATTGTTTTACACAATGTTCTACAAATTCTTTTACATATCGTTATCATAAGTTTACATAATATATCAAATCAGAATTATGTTAATTATACATTTTTATTACCACGTTATACAATAAAAACTTTTACAAATTTGTTGAATTTTTCTTTACACAAACCTTTTGTTAATAAATCAGCAATATTATTTTCAGTACTTACATAATTAATTTTTATAATATTTTTCCTCACAAGATCTTTAATATAATGGAATTTAATATCAATGTGTTTTGTTCGTTTAGAGTTCTCATTACACTTTGCCATCATTATTGCACCTTGATTGTCCACTAAAAGCACTGAATTTACACTGTCATTAAAATTTTCACAAATACCTTTTAAATTTACTAATTCTTGGGCTGATGTTGCAGCAGCTATATATTCAGATTCTGCTGACGAAAGCGAAACACATTTTTGCTTCTTTGAAAACCATTGGACAGGATTTCCTTTATAAAATATTATTCCACCACTTACACTTTTTCTATCTATCTTATCTGCCCCCCAATCTGCATCTGAGTAAGCAATTAAATCATTTTCTTGACTTTTCTTAAACAGTAGTCCTCTGTATTTAGTATCTTTTATGTATCTCAATATTCTTTTTCCTGCTTTCCATGTCTGTTCAGTGGGTTTTTCTATAAAACGACTTAAATATGACACTGCATATGTAAGATCTGGTCTTGATGTCATTGTAATGTATATCAAGCTTCCCATCAATTCTCTGTAAGGCAAGTCTTTTCTTTCTTCTTCATTTTTTATGTCTAAGTTTGATTCTATTGGTGTACTTATACCTTTGCACTCTGTCATTCCAAATTTGTTTAAAATCTTCTCTATTAATTTAGTTTGCTTTATAATTAGTTTATCTTCTTCTCTATAAATTTCCATACCCAAAAAGTTCTTTATTTCTCCTAAGTCTTTAGCATTAAAATGTTTCTGTAATGAATTTACTATATCTTTTGTGTCTCCAATTAAAATAATATCGTCTACATAAATTATCATCCAGCAATTATTCTTATAATATAAGCAATAATCATAATTTGATTGTTTAAATCCATTTTCTTTTGCAAATTTATCTATAGTATCATTCCAACACTTTGGTGATTCTATCAAACCATATAATGCACGCTTCAATTTTAATACTGTGTTAATTTTATTTGAACATTCTAAACCTTGAGGAACATTAATATAAACTTCTGAATTTAACTTTCCATTCAAAAAAGCAGTAGGTATATCTAACTGTCTTATTTCTAAATCTTCTTGAATTGCTTTAGATAACATCATTCTTACTGTCGATAGTCTAGCTACCGGTGCATACATTATTTCAAAATTATTATTTTGTTTTATCTGATACCCTTTGGCAACTAATCTAGCTTTTTTAGTTCCGTCTTCTTTTACTTTGAATACCCATTTTGTATCCACTATTTTTGAATTTTTAGGTTTATTTACTTCTTCCCATGTATCTAAGTCATTTAATGCTTTCAACTCTTTATTAATTGCATTTCTCCATTCCATATCCTTTGTCGCTTCCTCATATTCTATAGATTCTTCTCCTGAAATCATACAATAAGCAACATAAGTCTCATAATCATTTAATTTATTTGGTTTTCTTATATTTCTTCCATATTTAGATATTTTATCATTCATTTCATTTGTAATTTCTTTGTTTTCATTATCTATGTCTTCAATCATTTCATTTTCTTTATCTTCATTTGTATATACTTGTGTATTTTCTTGTATTACTTTTATGCCATCTGAGATTTCTTTTATTTCTCCCTCTGAATTATTACTGTTTTTATCTTCCAAATATACATATTTACTTTCATCGAATATTACATCTCTTGATCGTATTAATTTATTTTCATTTGAACACCACAATCTGTATCCTCCTAGATCATATCCTACAAATATATATGATTGTGCATTTGGATCTAATTTGCTTGTTCTTTTCAAATTTACTGCCCAACATTTACTACCAAACACTCTGAGTCTTGATAAGTCATTTTTACCATACCAAATATCTGATGGTGTTTTTCCATTCAATGCAACTGTTGGAGATCTATTCAACTCATAAGCTGAAGCTTTTATTGCTTCGCCCCATAAAAATTTTGGTAATTTTGTATCCAAAAACTTTGTTCTAACTTTATTCATTAAAGTTTTGTTCATCCGCTCAGATTTTCCGTTTTGCTGCGGAGTATATGCCATAGTATATTGTAATTCAATTCCTCTATTTTTACAATAATTTTTAAATCGATCTGAACTAAATTCTCCACCATTGTCTGTTCTTATGGCTTTTGTTCTAACGTTAAATGTACTTTTTAATTCTTTTATGTAATATATTAAGTTTAACTCAGCTTCACTTTTCCTTTTTAATAAATAGACTTGAGTAAAATGCGAATAGTCATCAATGATTACCTGAAAATATCTATACCCTGCTGGTGTTTCATCTTTTATAGGTCCTGATATGTCTGTATGTAATAACTCACCAATTCTTTTACTTGTATTATAATTATTGTCGAATGGTAATCGGCATGCTTTTCCTTCTATACATGTTTCACATTTTTCCTTACTAACTGGTAGGCCAAGTATCTTCATACTATTTCTATTTAAGTGACCTAGTCGCTGATGCCAAGTATTCGCTGTAATTGCTTGGTTCACATGAACAGTTTCTATATCAACTTGTAGTGTATATAATTTGTTTACTTGAGGTGCTTGAAATCTTATTCCTTTATAATTATTATATAGTATTATGCCTCTTTTATTTATTTTAATTTCAAAACCTTTGTTTATTATTTTTGATACTGATAATAAGTTAAATTTCAATTCTTCAACAATCAATCCACCTTCAATGTTTATCTCTATTCCATCTATTTTAACTAATAAGTCACCAACTTTATATGCCAACATGCACTTGCTGTTTGCAACAACTATTTTTATAGGTTTCTCTAAAACTTTTATGT